TATTACTGTCGTTGATATCCTTCGCCGAATATGTCTGTTTAGAAAAATATTTTTAAAGCGCGGAAACGTATATCCATTCATAGAATGTGCGACCATTGACTCGACGTGTATGAGAGTATTTCGAAAAAATTGTTTGCACAAAGAAGAAACAGGTATCATTTCGTCGGGGGGATGTAGATTTAAAGATAATTAATCGCGCAAAGGCATACAATGGTTAATTTCAAAGGAACGCGAGATTGGACGTCGTATTATTCACGCTAAACACAAGCGAGAATATCAGTTAACGGAGGGCATATTCATCGACGGATATTACGGGTACGAGAACAAGGGTGAGACGCAACGTCACATTTTGCAGTCCCACGGTTGCTTTTTTCACGGATGACTTGTTATCGAATAAATCGCAATAAACCAATTGGAAATTCCAAAGAAACATTTAATACATGATATGAACGAACGTTTGCAACGATCTGACGGTTACGTCAGCGAGGTTATATCATGACGGAAAAGAGTGCATTTTCGACGAAGAAATGTGCACGAATCGCGAGACTCGCGAATTTCTCGAGAATTACCCGATGATACAAATTCCGCCTCTCGATCCTCGTGATGCATTTTTTGGCAGATTATCGGTAATATATCGTGACATGATATGAAGTTGCGAGTAACAAGAAAATATGTTACATGGATGTACATGTATGTTCTTTGTACTCGTACTTATTGAAAATCGGTGTTTATTTAATCAAGCATCCTGATATCTATGTAGGGGACGAATGTTCTGCACTGATTGTAGAAGCATCAAATTTCAATTTTGAGCAAATCATGGGTCTCATACGATGTCGTATACTCCCACCACGCGATCTTTTCCATTTGGTATTACTGTATCGTGTGCGCGAAAAATTATTATTCGCACTTTGTGACACATACTGCGAAACATTTTCGCAATCTACATGCATTCACGATGACCCGGTGGAACGTGAGCTTGAGAGCACGTGAATGTCGTGTGAGTTGCGTAAAGCAATTGAAAAGGGTTATCTCATGATGAGGGTAGATAAAATCTGGTAGTATAAATGTACACGCTATAATTCCGCTACATGCGAGTTATTTACTGACTATTAACAGCTTCTTACAACTGAAACAAAGCAAGTGGATGACCGAGCGAGTGTGGGAAAAACGATATTGCTAAACAGCAATACTTTCGGAAGTAAGCAATCGAGGGTATTGTTCTCGATAAAAATTGAGCGGAATCCCAGATTACTTCTGTCACCAAACTCTGCCTCAATTCGTTTTGAGAAAAATTTGACCAATGGACAAACCTTTCGAGTACCGAGATAATAAGAAATCTCCAGTGATTGGCGGAATTATTGTCAAGCCCGGAACACGAAATAATCGTCAATGACGAGGTAATATATGTTTCGTGGCGTTTAAGACACGAAGCGTTTAACATTCTCGCTTATAACTAACGTGATAATAGCGGCGTTCACGATGACTAGGACTTTAAAGTACGAATATTTGGAAAAATTAGATAGACGTCTTTTATATTATTACGATTTTTGCCTATATCCGAATAGCGGAGATCCCAACGAACCGCGTACAGATAACTTTTTGGGAGACATAACGGACGAACTCGCTATGGGCGTGATAGTTTCATCGAGGCATTCGTATTTGACGGACCGAAATTTTATGCGTACCCCGGACGGATGCCAACATAAAATTTGTAAAATAAAAGATATTAAGTTAAATTTTCAAAATTCGCGACTGCTTAATTTTATCAGTATTCATAGGTTATTATTAAATAAAGAAAGAGAGGAAAATAACGAGAAGAGAGCCGCAATAAAATTGAAATTTAAACAATTCGACGCACCGTACTTCATGAGGTGGTAACAGAGATGAAGCAAAAACATGCGCTCCAGTTCTGATAAAACATAAATTCATCAATAGTCACTGTTCTCTCTCGTACAGATTTATATAATATGTTAGATTGTGTAATATATTTCATTTAAGCTAGAAAAGTCACAGATTTTCCTCTCCCGAGCAATTTGTAAATAAAAACTGCGGAATATAATCAAATGTTCGTGTAAAAATTTAAATCAATTTATACTGATAGTTTAAAAGTTAAAAAGAAAATGTAATAAAAAACGTTTATTATTTCGTATAATATATATATATATAATATATTTTAGTAAAAATTTATACTTTTACTCATTAAATTAAAAGAGAATGTGTAATAAAATTGATTATTATTTTAAGAAGTTGTATTAATATATATGAATAAAAATTATTAATATATAATGAAATATGATTTACAAACGAAATATATATATATATTTTTTTCTTTCTCCTTTTGAAAACAATGAATATTAAATAAAAGTATTTTGTACTTGACACACGAAAAAAGATGTTATATTAGGTGTAGTAAAAATTAATCCATTATTTTTCCAATAGATGACTTTAGTAATCTATATCACGCGTAGACGAGATTTTAATGTAAGCTTTTTTTTTCAGCGATGGCATCGCGTGTAAGCTCATCGATGGCGATGCCACACTCTGCGATTGAAATATACGCCAATGGCGAGCCTATCGACGCAAAGATAAGCTTATAGAATTAGTTGAAACGAGCATGAAATCGTGACTATATATATATACATAATGTCGTGAAAAATTCGAATATCACTGACCTGATAAATGATGCGCCGCGCGAAAGAAAAACTGTGAAAGCAGTAGAAATCAGTTTGCGCGACTACTCCGCATTCCGTGCGTTGAACATACCTTCTGCACTGGTAAGAAAAAAAAAAGATTGCCCACGCACGGTGTTACTGCAAACAGCGTCAAACTTCGACTTCGTGCGAGTTCCACATCTTTTATATCGAAAGCACAAGTTCCACGCCGATTGTATCGAAAGCGCGAGGAAAGAGAAAAACATAAAAATTACGAAGAAATAAACGAGGAAAGTTCGCAGATTCTTTTTCATGCATGGATAACTGATACTCTCTTATCTTTACAAATGGAAAAAAATCTGTTACTCGGTTGGAAAAAAACTAAAATAACGATGGCGTTCGAAAAACTATACTATGATCCATCGCGGGTTATTCGGCGATGGATAATCTAACTCGTGCTGTTAAACCGAATTTCTCACAGGGAAAAGTCGTACGCTAGCTCGAATCGCAAGACGTGTTTACATTGCACCAATAATTGCGCAGAAAATTTCCATGGTTGCATTCAACCTGTCAAACATTGACGTGTGAGAGATTTGATCGAACTTCGGAAATCTAAAAAGTTACAATGACGATTATTCCTATCTGTTAGTGATTACCAATGTACTAAGTAAATACGTCTGGGTAGAATCATTACGCCACAAAACGAGTAATTGCGTGATAAAAGCTTTCCAACGCCCACTAGCGAAAAACGAACGTGTTCCTGTATACTTACAAATGGATAAAGGCAAAAAATTTGTCGCGCAATCAATTTCGCAGAAATTTCTTAAAGAAAACAAAAACTTCATTTTAGGGTAATCCAGACATCAAAGCCGCCATCGTCAAGCGCTTCAACAGAACACTCAAGGAGCAAATATGGTGTTATTTCACACATAAAAACGCGACGCTACATCGATATTCTGCAGAACATTATGCGCGCTTACAATCACACGCGTCACTCGTCTACGAGAATGTAATCTGCGGTAGTAATGAGAGAAAACACACGTGAAAATATAGCTCATCGTTGAAAAAACAAAACGTTGAAGAAACAAGCGCAAAAAATTAAATATCGCGTCGGACATCTCGTTCGCATTAGTAGATCGAAAGATGCCTTCGAGAAAGGATACGAGACTAAGTGGAGCGAAGAGATATTTCAAATTTAGTGTTCCTGATTGGCAAAACCCTCACGTGTGCGAGATAAAGTCATAGACAGACAAAGTCATAGACAGTATTTTTTATGAGCAAGAATTAGCTTGATTTGAGAAAAACTTAAAGGAAAAACAATTTATTATCGATCGCGATAAAGAGTAGGGAACGAGGAGCTAATAAGCAAGTGCTTGTTAGTTGGTGCGGCTATCCCAATAAGTTTGATACTTGGATTCCAGCTTCGAATTTAATTTTTCTTCGCAATGAAGGACAAACAATTTCTTCTAGTACTTCCGCTTAACAGTAGTATGCGTTATTTTCCGGACAATACAACGTCGTCCTTGATCACGGAATTACCTCACTCTGTTACACAGACAATGAGAGGTTACGAGATTTAATTTCCTTGTACCTTTTTACATGTACGTCATAACGAAAATGTGATCAAAATCGTTGATGTTAAATCCGATGAGGGAACGAATGGTGCGTTTACGGCAAAAGAAGTTGCATTTGCAAATGGAATTTACAATATCCATGAGCTTATTGATGCGATTAATGTCGCGTGTAAAGATATCGAAATTTTTATTTAGAATAGCAAAACGCGTCTAGTAACAAAATCGTCATAAGTATTAACTGCGATGAGAAATGCTAAATACAAAATGCTACATCATATAGTTTTCCGATAATCTTCTACGAATGCTAGATTTCTCAGCAACAATTTCCACAAATAAATACCCATTTTATTCCAAGCACATGATACCAAGCACGTAAGCCTAATTCCAATGAAACAGAAGAGAAAACTTTTCTTACTCACTGATTTAATAAGAAGACGGGAAATCGACTTGCAGACGATTATTAGAATAGCGAACCTATAGTTTGTAGCGCAGTAGCCCCATAAAATGTTCGTTTATTGCGATATTTGTGAACTTTATATAAAAGGTGATGTACATACTCCTCTTCTCAGGATAATTCCTGACGAGTACGCAGTCATAATTACGCATTTGGTGCAAATTTGGTAAAGCATTTCTCATTTCCAAATTATATCCCATTGCAACAAACAAATTAGATATAAGAGATCGAAATAGATATAAAAGATCATCATGGAAAAAAATGCCATTCGAATTCGGAACGCTGATAATGACGTTGCACTTTAAACATAAGCAATAACTTTCTTTCTTTCGTGTCAACATGCGAGTGTGTTGGTAGTGACAATTTTTAGTTAGGAACTAGTGGTGGAATATGAGGAATATTTTGATGCGCAGGACATCGGTAGCCGAAGTAAATTCCATATGTTTTCGTCGGTTTGCTTTACGCAGACATGGAATCGAAAGCTTTTTCTGTGGACTATTAAAAAAAAATACTACCTTATCTAAATAAAGATGCACATGTCGGAAAAGAAGTTTTACGTGCGGGAATTAACGTAATAGATGTCAAAAATAATAAGTCGTTGAAGAAAGCTGTCAAAAGTCGGCTTGCGAAGTCGAGGGGCTTCTAATCTGAAAAGAAAAGCCATAGAAAAAAATAAGTTTCCGGATGAGGGGGTCGAGATATAAAATATCCGCAAAGTCTGCAACACTTCAGTTTCTACTCAGTGTCGAGATAGTCGTATCGTGTTTAAACGTCCAAAAATAAAAAAAAATTCGAAAAGTACCACAGAGAAAAAGAACAAAAAAAGTGACGAAGAAAAAGAAAATTCATACTGCAGAAAAAAAAACTATCCGCTAGGAAACATCAAGAAACGTGACATATCTAATATATTCTCTTAATTGAGATAAGAATTCGCGGCTGGAGAAAAAGCATGTCCTTTCTTCATACTCACTCAAGCGAGTATAAAGAGCGAACGATTTCGCTCGATTTCTTCTTTTTGCCTCCTACGCAAATCATTGAGAGCAGGGATTTATTACAATAACATCGCTCGCGGACGATTTGCCCATAGAATTTGTCATACTCAGACATAAAGAAGACTATCTGGATCTCACTCACACCATGTTGAGCCTTTGTATACACATAGAAAGCGAATGCGGAGAGAGCACATCAATCGCACCCGACAACGTCGCAAAAGTAGGATAAATCCGTAAATCATTTACTGTATTCCATATTCAAACAAATCGACATATATTTCAATTAAAAGCTTGTGTCGTCACCAAACAACGCTTACGCTTATCGCGCGTACATCGAGGCGTTATTAAATTATGCTTCACCCGCAAAAACTTCCTACCTAGTCTCCGGATGCGGATATCCCCGGTTACATGAACGACACGTTAGACTCATCGACTTCAAATACGGCGTTCAAGAGTCGCGCACAATACATTCAGGGAAATCGCGCACTAGACCTTCACTCCGACATTTCGATTTTCAATCAAAATAAAATTTTAATTAATGGAGTGGAAGTTAGAATGAGACTCATACGTTCGAAAGATTTTGCTTTGTGGAGAGTAAATCGATGTCAAAAATACGTATTCTTGATACACCTATTCGTAAGGAGAGCAAAAATAAATCCGGTGTGCTACTCGCACACGCTAGAATGCTAAATAAAACTATCACCAAGTATCCTCTTACGAAAGTCGAAGTTAAAACATTTACGATACTCGCTGGCGTAGTAGGAGAATCGATAAACAATGCAATACTCGGACAGCTGCCGAAACGAATAATAGTCAGCTTTGTCGATAAGGCGTTTAACAGCGATAGAAAATTGAACTCGTTTAATTTCAAAAATTACGGAATAAATTTCTTTTCACTGTACGCCGATGGCATGCAAATTTCCAATAGACCGTTACAGCCAAATTTTTCGAAAGAGAAGCTGCTTTACGTGGAAGCTTATCACACATCTCAGTGACTCTCAAACGACTCAGTCAAATATGTCAATATAACATCAAAACCGTCGTTTATCGTCATGGCGTTAAAGAAATAATTCAATGATGAAAAATTGACATCATGTAGAATGATGTTTTAAGTGAGGAAATATCATAGAAGAAGGTGAAAATCATTGTTTATACATGATAATTCTAGTATTATGCAAGAAATTCAATATCACATTGACGTCAAAATGATAACATTATGATAAGACAATTTTGCCTGCTCTATTATTTTTTCAAAAAATGTCTGACATTGTTTTGTAGCATGTATTGATATTATTTCTACATATTTTTACATATTTCAATATATTTATACATATTAGATCTCCTATTATTGCGTTTATTGTGATATTGCTTTTTCGTTCTCGCAATTAATGTATTCGCTTTCTATGGTTGTCTTTAACTGTCCTTGTATGCATGCGATTAGCTATGACGATATACTATTTCTTTCATAAATATATATACTATATGAATCTATATTCAACATTTGGCGGCACATCTATTCATTTCAGCGTTAATTCTCAATCATAAAGATTAACATTCAAATGACACATTCAATTTTGAAAATGACACTCAAAGGTTATTAAGCCGTTTAAGATTTACACTTATCTATTGAGTGTCATGAGTAAACCGCAATTGAGTATTACCATCAAATTCGGTGTATAGTATGGTGTATACACCAAACTATTCACCGAATTTAATGATCATACCCAACTGACACTCAACATTGATGCTCAGCGCTTAATTTACACTTAATATTGAGTATTTACACCAAGGCAACACGAATTTATGGTCAAACTCAACTGTCACCCAACATTGATGCTTAACGCTTAAGTGACACTCAAAGTTGACGATCAACATTCAACTTTGATGGTAAACACCTAAATTTGAGTGTTAAACATACAATAAATCGAGGGTTTTTTTTCGTAAGAGATAAGGACCATTTATTCATTGACAATTTTTATTTTATATAACCTATGGTATTAGTTTGATAACAGAATGTGTGCTTACACAATTTTACGAGGAATAATTCTACATATTCAACTAATTTTATTATCATTACAGACAAATTGTGACCGACGTAATAGAAGAATATAACTGCGAAGATGATAAGACTGAAAACATTGCATTGTTGCGACTGAAAATAGATATAAAAAAATTAATCACTTTGCGTAACTTTGCTATAATTTGCAGAAATTGTATTGTATTTAACCGTTTTATGATTTTTATTAAATTTGCGTTAATTTATCGACATGTATACATTGAGGATGACCTGACAAATAGATCGAAACGTATGTATTTTTAAGAATTTAAATATACGGAAAATTTGGCTCTTAGTCCTTCTGTTATTCGTTTTTGTTTAAATACTTAAAATTTAGAAAGAATTAAAAATATATATATATAACAAATTAGCACATGGAAGACGTTGCATCAGTTGAATATGTTCGTTCCTGTTTTACCTTCTCTTTCTTTCAAAAATAAGAGTCTCCTATAGTGTTTTTTCTTGGCTACACTATCGCTCACCAGTGCAACACTCAGACAGTATAGCGTGTTTCCTTGGCTGGTGGTAGGCGAACTCATTCAGTGTAACGTGTTTCCGTGGCTATAGTGCAAATTTTATGCACGAAGTGGGGTTTTGCTTCACGATCTCAAAGAGATGATGTACAGCCAGTGTGACATTAAAAATTTGAAAATGGAAGTCAACCGACAACAGAATTAAACACAATAGTATAAAATAGTGTACACAAATATACAACATAGTGTATGTACACTTTTGTAGTGCAGCACTGATGCAGCACTTACACGCAACTGGTGTAGTGCGAGGTTACACTCAGTGTATCCCAAGAGAAAACGCTACTAATCTCGAAAATTTTCGTAAAGGATCCCATAAATACTAAAAAAAAAACTTTTTCACTAAGACGTAGGGTTGTGCCAATAAAAAATGACCCTCATAAAACTATCTGCTATTCATGTCTACTGTTTGTGCCTTGCCCCCTCCCCATGATAAAAAATGCTACGGTCCCAATCTCTTGTTCCAGACTTTGCCCTCCACATTGTCGGAAATCCTCTACCACTCCCTTCTCCAATCACCTCGAGGAAAGTTATGGAGCGGACCAATCAGATCTTTATCAGCTATAGAGCGAACCAATAAGAACGCTCCATTTAATTATCCTATTTCCCTTCATCCACCGACTATCAGAGCCTACCATCCTTCCAGATCTATCTAGATAGATCTATCTAGACCATGCTCATGATGGGTAGCGTAGAGGAGGTTTGTTGCGCCATACTTTCTCTACTTTTTACTACTTATATAGGTAACACACCGTGGTAACAATTTCATTAAACTTTAGCTATTAGAGCTTTTAAATTTTTAATTCAATAAACAGGCAAATGAGAGTAAACTGCGCAGTTAAAACTGTGCTATAATAAACTATATATATTCTGTAATTTAAATGTATAAACAATAATTTTCCATTTTCGGACATTTCGACTGACTTCCCGTCATTTGCAACGAATTAATAATAGACGTAAATATAACCGTGAGTTTTTAAACAATTCATCCTCAACGATTGCATCTTAATGAACGAGTCTTCTCAATTTCTGTTGGAGAAGTGCTGCCGTTAACATGATCCAAATTCAATGAACGCAAATGCAATTCAAGAGGAAAATTGTACAATTTTAATAAATAATGTTATTATAAAAATTATCATTATAAATGACTTATCAGATTGGATAGTAAATATAGAAATATATGTAAGAACCTAAGAACTTATGAGATCATATAAAAACATAAAATACCTTAAATGTGTCAATTTCATGTATAAGACTGATCCTACATGACAACTAATTCCTATGAGTTCTTGTGAAATATTATAAAATCATATAATATCCTATATTTTCTTTAAACATATAAAAACTTATGAGATCATATAATAGCATAGAAGAACTTTAATGTATTAATTTCATATGAGATTAATCTTATATGAAAATTTCATACAAGAATTTTCGGCAGAATATCGGAGTTACCTTAATTCAATTTCAATGTTATTATTATTATTATCAAAATTAATCATTAGCGATCTTCAATTTTTTTAGTAATCAAAAATTCTAGGATTTATCGATTAAATAATTTTATAAAATAAAACTATATATTGCAACATTGAATTCATGTATATCTATTTTTTTAATACACTCGGTATACGATTCTTCTGACAGATATGCTAAAGGCGAAATCACATGCGTAATAGAACTACGGAATACTCTGCTGTTTCCCATGAGTTTTTTATGGATTCCTATAAAGAAATAAGATTCTATAGGAGCTTGTGTTACCTTTAAGATTTGCGTGACATACATAGGTAGGACATTCATAGGAATGCAAATAGGTTAATATAGGTATCCACAGGAATGTGGACAGATGCCCCATGAGAACTAAAAGGCCTATAGAATACTAGTTTAATGTACAGTAATATATAGGCATACGAGGAAAGATAAAGGAAAGATGCCCTATGGGGACTGAAAATGTCTATAGACTATCATAGGATGACATCTACATATCTCCTCTGTCCTATGTATACCTATATGTTCCTATATGTCAAAGTATAGTATCCTATAGGCTTTTAGTTCCCATGAGGCATCTTTTCCGCATTCCTATGGATACTTATATCAACTTGAGAGAATAATTCGTAACTCCTAAAAACTGGAAACCACGATAATAATTAATAAACGAAGTACGTTCCACGTCGAGTGAAAAAAAATTCTAACTGCCAAGAAAAATATATGACTACTCATGACTTTTTTGAGTCACCAAACATACCTTGTTTATCACATAACCTTCAGTTTTTGGAGTTATGGAAAAATTATCTTAGATTTTCACGTTGAATTACATCAGTCGGTTATAGCACTTTGTGTATACATTCTAACTGATATTATAGGGACTATACAGTGTCTCAGAATATTTGTAACTATTTTAAGATATCTCAAAATATTTGGAATTATTTTTGTGCACAGACAGAGCGGATTAAACTGAACCGAAAGGTCCTCTATTTTGCAATTTCCGCAATTATTACCAATGAGCAGAATGTTTAAAATCGATGCAACAACTTAAGACAACTTTAAGATGAGACAACATAAGACAACTTTAAGATATCTTTAAGAGTTCTTTGAAAAACATCTTTAAAATATGTCATAAAGAACTCTAAAAAATATCTTAAAGTTGTCTTATGCGTCGATTTTACTCGCTTATTCGGCAATCTTTAGAAACTAATTATTGTGAAAATTGCAAAATGATACAGAATTTTTCGACTCAGTTTAGTCTACTTTATCTGCACACGAAAATAATCCCAAATACGGGACATCCTATATATCATTTAGGTCCGTGTACATTATTCTTTTTCCCATGGCTCCTACAGGAGCTTCTTTTCATGGATTGATGCCATAGATTGCTATGTAAAATTTTGTGGAAAAATTTCCTATGTTATCCTATATATACATGCTGCGTAAATCCTATAAGTATATACAAGTTTTTACAGAATCTTATAGTTCTCTATAGGAACCTATGAAAAACCTGGGAAAACCTTTACAATAAGAATAGGAGTATCTCCATGGAGACCAGTTGAATTTACCATGGGTATCCATGGTTAGACAAACCCATAGAAAAATTCCCCAATTTGCAGCAAGATAGAGAACGTTATTGTGTCCTAAATCCTAAAATCGCCTAAACAGGGTTCTTGTAATAAATCGTCATATTTTGAGAGGTTAAAATAATTTAATGCTGATTGATATGATGGAATCGCGTGGAATGTTGAAACGATTGAAGCAAAATGACAAAATCTAAGTGCATATAGATATCAAGATCAAAAAATAATGACGCATTACATGCAATTTCAGCGTGCCCTGTTCATACGATGCGGAAAAATGATAGCAAATGCGTTAAAACAGTTCAAAAAATTGTTATGAGATTGTAAATATTAATTATAAAATATTAAATACAACAGTGATAATTGTTTTTACAATTTGAGAAATTATATTTTATTTTAATAAGCAAATTATTAACATAAAGTTAGTAGTTTTTAAATTACATTTTTCGGATACATCTTTGACGCATCATGTGAACATAGCACACAAAACTTGTAATGGAAAATTGCGAAATAGCGCTGATTGGTTGCTTCAATGACGCATTCTGTATTCCGGTATTCTGCAGCCCTATTACGCGCCGTGTGATTTCACCCTCTCATTGCAACTCACTAGACGCAGAGGTTCGCAATATTTCTGTGTTCCGAAACCCATAAAAAAAAGTGTTGCAAACGTTCTGACACAATCGTACATCCATGATGTAAAAGTACAAGGTGTATCATTGCGCATAATGGAGATAGCAATACTGGAAACAACCAATCAAATTTTGCTCTGCACTTTCCTGTGTATAACAGCGCTAGCATATTACAATAGCCAATCAAATTTTGCTCAAAATTCATTCTCTTACTGCGCATCTTCGGAAATGGTATGCTCACTGATAAAATTGCACACTTTCTTTTAAATGGGTTTCGGAATGTAGTCTGCTCACTGAGCGATTGGTTCTTATTTACGGATTTGTAAGTAAGGACCAATTGCTCAGTGAGTAGGCTGCATTTCGGAAACCATAGAAAAAAATCTGTTGTCACTTTAGTCGGTGAGTGTACACCTTGTTTTCTTACATCATGTGTATGTACCCATGTAGAGCTCCATGATGGAGAAGATTAAGATCAATAGATTAAATCTCTCAAAATAAGTTAAATCGCATATCCTTTGAGTTTACAATTTGCGTTTCCGTGGATCGCGGAAACTCGTCGAAGCTATCCTCATGCCCGTCGATCACCATCGGATCATCTTCCACTTCGATGTCCTCCACTTTAATGTGATCCTCCATCGCATCGACGGTCGAGTGTTTTGGTAGAAAAGGAATTACTGATGGTTCTTTGATGTATTCAGTAGTATGCACTCTAGTTTCAATATGGCATCGTTGCATTCGCGTCTCAACCCTGGTATAGAGATTGCAGTTACTCTCTTGGTTTTTCGATTCCCCAGAGAGACCACGTATCTCCAAATCGGTGGCAGTTTTTATCAGCGAAGGAAGATGCTCCTCTGCTACATCAATGGATCCTTTGTACATGAAATCCAAAAGGCATTCCATTTCTTCAACAGCGACACCTAGGCGGTAAAAATGCAGTATGTCAAATAGAATACATTTCAAAATAGAAAGATTTCGAAATAAATATAATGACAAAATTCTCTTTTTCCCTCTTGCATGATTTCCGAAGTCTATTTTCGCGTAATGTATACCGCTATACCCTCAGAAAAAGTAATAAGTAAACCAAAGAAGACTCCAGTTTTACAGAAGGCTACGGCTTTTTTTATTAAAAGAATAGAAGCTTGCCTCCTTATGCCCACTGGATCGCAAGCTTTTATGAAATTCAACTTTCATAAAAAGATTTCACCGTTATGCAACACTTTTAACACTTTCTCTCTTTCTTTCTTTTAGATAAAATATCCAGCATTAAAAAAAACATGTACAAACTCCTTCTTTAAATATCTATTCAAACATTATTAATGTTTCATCAAGCATAATCAATGTATACCTTTTAAAATGAGAATGGGTTGCTCTCCGTAATGTTCCTTAAAAACCCTTTCGAAATAAGGGCTGCACGCTGCTAGCACCAATCTATGGGCTCTTAACATACCACCCTGGCAAGCCAAAGTCGCGTCCGTCAAGGAACCACTTTTGTAAAGAGCTTCGAATAAACCCGACAGATTCGCCAGATGATTGTTCCATGTAAGGTTGAACGTCTTTTCACCCATACTCTCTTTTATCGAGTATTACTTATTAATCTGTATTACTTATTAATCTGAAATATATAAAGATTTCGTATTTTCACAGTAGGATAAACTTATTTGAAAACAAAAAAGTTTTTTTTTGTAAAATGTATATATACATATTAGGATGGTCCATCTTTATTCTTGAAAATTCGAAAAAAAAAAGATTTTTTCGAATTTTGTTTCGCGGCTCAAAATGGTTCCAATCCGCAAAAAAATAATTCTTGTTAAATTTCAATTCGATAACGAGAACCCGTTAAATATAATCAACAAATCATTATTTGAGTTCCCTTACATTATACTATTAACATTAGTTCTTAAAACATAGATATTTTCCACAAAAATAGCCTAGAGAATTTTTCTTTTTTTTTTTAACATGTGTTTCTTACTTTTCTACATCGTTTAAAACCTTATACGTCTCATTTAATACAATTAAATAAATTGTTAATGATCAAGAAATAAAAATAAATAATTTAATTTCGGCATATACACTACTGTATAGACATTTTCTGATATTTGATTTTTTTTTAGGGCACCATCTAAAATTAATCCAATTTATACAATATTTATAGATAGTCATTATTTAGTTGATATATGTTATCAAAGTCAAGATCATCGGAGTTGGGTGCCCGGAACTAAATAATTACTACCTACGTAACTTTGAATGACTTTACGATAGATTTTAGTTTGCAATTTCGTTCTTCGTTAAAAAGTTATTAATAGTCAAAGTTAGTTATTATTTCCCTACTTTACATGGAGAGTCAGATAACTCTAGGCAGGGAAAAAGATATTTTTGGGATGAATCTATATATAACCAGATAACAAAATGTTAGCAGGATGTCGACAGACTGGTAGCAGATTTGATTAGATGTTCAAAGAACAGTAGACTGATGTCGCATTCTGTTCCTGTTCTGTCGACAGAACATTCTATGCAAACAGACTGGTAGTAGAAATCAAACAAAACCTGCTAACAGAATTTGATAGTAGATTGCGAGCAGAAATCGAGATCATTTTCATTTAAATCGACCTAGTTTCTTATAAGAAATGTTGCGTACATATATATAAACGATTATATATAATTATATATTTATATATATATTGGTGTAAAAACTGGAAACAATTAATATAGTTTTATTGCTAAAATCTTATTGATTAGCTTCACATTTTAAAATACACATGAGAAAGTTAGAAAATAGTAAAAAAAAATATTCGGAAATTTAGGAAGCTCCGAAAGAGCTTGGGAATCTCTAGGAGATTTGTCTGTTCGATTTACATATCCCAATTCTTATAGGACTCCTGGACGTTTTCTTCTTACGAGAAGCAAATCCATCTCGAAGCCGTATATAAAAATGGCAGATTCAGTTTCTGCTGTCAATCTGCCATCGAATTATATCAACAGATTCTGTTCGGTTAGTCACAATCTGCTCTTAGGTTATGCAGCAGACTCAGTGCAGTTTCTGTCACCAATTTGCTAGCATATCATGTCATATTTTTGACTGCAGTTTACTAACATTGTCTAATAGTATAAACTCTGTGTACAATTTGTTGCCTTTCTGCAATCAGAAATTGGTAGCAGATTCTGCTCAAAATCTGTCTCTTCAGATTTGGCTATCTGTGTATAAGATAGGATTGAGTATTATGAGCACCTTAAGGGGATCCTAAAGCGAACTCGAACTCCGACGAAGTCACCAGAGGTCGCACCATGCGTCGCACATCGACGATGTTTTTATACAATATTATCACATCAATCTCTCACGCACCTATGATACGCGCAGTCACATATTCGTGTCAATTTTCGTATAACAAATTTGTCGCGATAAAGCGTCTAAGTTTAATTCTAAGAACTCGACGTTATTTGTTCGTGTAAATTACATATATCTAGGAACCACTATTTCATACGTACATGTTGCAAAGCATTCATTTCAAGCAAATGTTGTCATGACTTGACAGCTGAGACGCCATATTTCACTAAGAAATAGTAAAAAATATATCAATTTTGAAATTTTTGATCGTTCTAGGCATAGACTCCACTTCCTAGACACGTATTGATGCATATACTTTAATTCTGGAAAAGGATTTTCGGTGAAAGAGAAAAAAAGTATTTATTATACAAAAATTACATGATTTAATCGGTAAAATAGGAGGCTTTAGAGATCCCCTTAAGGAAACATTTTAATATATTTAGCATATACTGAAGAATAAAAAAATCTTATGCATACCATTTGAAAGATTTGTTGATGTTTTATGTATCTTAATATTGATTATTTTAATGCAAATATTGAAATAATACTTTTATTACCACCTAGTGTTCATATTATCCTTTGGGTAGGCTAATATGAGCATCCTTAGAGATAATGAGCAGGAAATTTTTTGTAAGAAATTATGCAGAAATGAAAGATTAAAGTATACATATACATATGAAACATTTTATTAGAACAAATGTCAAAACCATTTGGTTAATATAACTAAAAAATAATATGTTACATTACAAATATTAAGTATTGTCAAATGGAAACAGTTTGATAATATTTATCAAATATTTGTAAAAGTAACATTATTTTTTATTATATTAATCAAACATTTTATGGACATTATTTCACTATACATTTAATAGCTACCAAAATTTAGCTTACCAAACTCTAAGAAAGTCTACCATTGTTAAAAAAATGTACACTAATGTACAGTAATTGCTAATTATGGCAATACAACACACTTTATTGTTAGCATTGCTATTGTATTGTTAATATTGTTATCCTAAATATTGTTCTATTGCGCGCAATATTGCCAAGTATTGTTAATGTATTGCTACGTACTACTATATACTGCTAGCATATTGTTAGTGTATTATTGTTACTGTTATTGCTAGCATTGCCTGTTTTATTACTGTACTGTCGTAATATATTTCTAAAGAAAGTGTACACTGATTGTCAGTGGTGTATATAATAGTGGCCCTTGCCAGACTCTTTTTTTAGTATACAATAAGGAATAATAAAGATGCTCATATATATAATACACGACTATGCATACCTATCCGAAAAACTGCCGTGTCTAATAAATCAATAATGCTTTGGATTTTATGAAGTTAGAATATTGCTCAATATTGTTTACTTAACGAATACTAGCAGAATAAAATATCTTATCTCAATGTAGATTGAAAACCTTATAAAATTATAAGAAAAAACGTAAGAAATAAAAAAATAACGTATCTATTTATTTAATATGATAAATATATAAGAAGTACATAAATTAAGCTCAAACTTCGCAGCATATTGGAAAGACAGTCGCAAGACTGTCGCAAAGACTGTCGCAAAGACAGATGCATCTTTTTACAACAGTTGGCCCTACTAATATTAATCATTACAGAAATAAAAGGATGTTCATATTACCTACAGTGCTCGTAATACTGATCCTATTCTATATATATATAATACTTATATTTATATTTTATTTTCTACTTATATTTTATCTATATTTTATTTTATACCTATATCTATTTTTTTATTTTTTAATTATATCTATATTTTTATTACAGAAATTGCTGAAAATGATTTCCTTCCTCATCGATACATGCTTCGCATCGACGTCACATGGATTATCGAAGACGTTCAAAAATTCTCGGAGTATTTCGTATTTTTTCACACGCAGCGATAATACGATTTCGGAGTACTTTTACAGTAGCAACAGGATCATATACGAGAGTCTTAAAATGTTCCCATAAATAAAATTCCAAAGGATTCATATCGGAAGAATGTGCAAGCCAAGCAATAGATCCTCCTCTATCAATTCATCTATTGATATAATTATTATTCAGGAATTCTCGAGCGTGCGACTGAAATGTATTGAAACTCCATCATGCATGAACCACATTTGATTGCGTATCTGTAATGAAACGTCTTCTAATTAGAAGGAATTGTGTTTCCAAAAATTGTTTCCAAAAACTCTCTGCCAAAGGTCTCATGACTTTCCATGCAAAGTGACTTTCATTCCACCTCCCCTCTGCTTCAGGGATGCACAATTTCCACGCATGGAAAGTTGGATACTCCTTAGCAAGGGGTTCCCAAACTTATGGATAACTTATGTAAATATTTCGGATTTTTAATATTTTTATCATAGTAGTAGACAGTATAAAGTTTTTACTATTAGGTGCGGAACTAAGTTCCCGCTATTTGTCAACAGATGGCTCCAGCAGTAAGTGAACAGTTTTATCGTGGTATACGAGCTCTGCCAGAAAGATGGGAAAAAGTAGTAGCTAGCGATGGGCAATACTTTCAATGATTCATTTGTAACCATTTTTTCACAATAAAGTTGCATTTTCATCAAAATAACAGCGAGAACTTAGTTGCGCATCTAATAATATAATTCGTTTACCTTAAAAATAGTAGATAATACTTAATAAATTAAGTTTTTGTTAGGTGCAATATATTGGAGTTACCCTAAATCGTATTACACAAATCGAAAAATAAAAACTATTATACATTCTTTAAATCTGTAAATAAACGTGGTGTAGATCTTCAGTATTCGATCGTAAATTATGACCATTCTTTTACATATTGTTATGTCCGCGCCGACACATTAAGCGAATGGAGTTTAGTAACCGGCAGAATGAGGACTAATTGAAAAACTCGTCGCCAGGAAGCTTTGAGATCAGCTGTTTGATAGTCTTGAAAGATTTTGAGTTTGAATTTTGAACTGTCACGTATCCAAACGTGTCTTATCCCATCTCTGCACTCGTATATAGTACGTTGTTATGAATAAAGAAAAGTTTTGTTTATAAACGTATGTGCCTCTTTATTTTGCGGCTCGAAAGTGCGATAACGTGTTCGCGCGTGTGATCGCAATAATCGGTCGCGCAGGAGCAATAATATGTGAAGGCATTCAGATATTAACCGTTTATTGAAAAAACGCTCAAGTTCTTCGACTTTCTCCCAATCAAAATTATGTTCGTAATTAATTCTATGCTCCGTAATTACCAAATGATTATTGAGATTCCAATTTATGTGATTTCAGTGCTCTAGTTTACAGTTTCTTTCCA